TTTTAGTTGAAGCCAAGATGAAAATGCTGCATTATGTCGGCTTGATACTGTCGTTGCTAAATTTTTTAACTTAATAGGATCATAGTTTTGACTCATATAGCTTATTATCGTGAATTAGAAGCTTGAGATTGGTTTAGTTATGACGTTTGATTGTAACTTGCAAAATGATGGAAATTCAACCCAAATTCATGGTAAGAAAATGAGAGGGAGAACTGGAAGTAACTTGATACGGGGTTTTTCCAGCTGCAACCCTTTGTAAGAAGTATGTAATAACACATTGCCTCATTTATTCCTGGTTCATGCTTGATCTTAATGATCTAAATCACTGTACACTTCCTGGACATTGGAAATTCATTATGGTGAAAAAGTTGAGAGATTGATTGAAAATTATGGTCCTTACTTTGACAAGGATGATTGGGAAATTCAAAAGAGGAGATTGATTTTATTCATGGAACAGATCTAATGACCAACATGAAAATGAAAACATACTGAGAGACAGTACTATTGCTGCATTGATAATCTTTTTAATGTCTACAAAAATATACTGCTTATTATTTACGGAATTGAGCATCTGAAAATGTATCAACACATGCTCAGACTTGAGATTGTGCAGCTCACTTTGTCTATGTCGTCTACTAAAAATATATTATTCTCATATCAGAGGGCTAAACTAAATATGCATGGTTTACTGACATAACTAGAATGTGCATTTACCAGTAGTCATTGCAGGAACAAAATCCCTCTTTAAAATGATGAAATCGATTCCGATCCCTAACTATAATTTCTCTATTAAATACCTTTGATATTATCTTTGTTGCATTGTGGCAATCTGTACACACTCGAAGATTCTTCGAAATTCTGATTGTAGTTCCCGGAGGAGTTTTGATAAGACCGAAGGCAATAGCCAATTTCTCACTATGGTGAGCTACTGCAGCTTCCTTGTCGTCTTCTTCAGCATCTAGTCTTGCATCTGCCTTGTTGGGTATGTAGCCAGCTGATTTTATCTTTTTGATCATGTTTTCAGCTGCTTTATATATCTCCTTAGAATGTGAACACACATTATCTTCAGCAAAGAATTCATAAATCTCTCCGTCCAATTCAATCAAGCTACAACCAGGTGTCTTCTTTATTCCCTTCTCTCTCATCTCATTCCTTACCCTCATCGCGTCCTCCCATCTACCCACTGATGCATAAATATTGGATAGAAGTATGTAATCTCCACTATGCATGGGTTCCAATAGAACTAGTTTCTTCAATGATTGCTCTCCAACTTCAACATTTTTATGAACTCTGCATGAAGCCAACAATGTTCTCCATATGACAGCATTGGGTTGAATGGGCATGTTCTTTATGAACTGATATGCCTCTTCAATCATCCCAGCTCGACCAAGAATGTCTACCATGCAACCATAGTGTTCCATCCTTGGTTCAATACCCAAGTCTCTGCTCATACTGACAAAAAATCCCCGACCCTCATCAACCATTCCCACATGACAACAAGCAGAAAGAACGGCAATGAAAGTCACATCATTTGGCTCAATATTCTTTTCTCGCATCAAATGGTAAAACTCAAGAGCCCTTATTCCTTGTCCATTATTAGCAAGGCCTTGAATTAGCACAGTCCAGGTGAAGACGTTCTCCACAGGCATCTGCTTAAACATTTCAATCGCGTCCTCTATAAGCCCACTCTTTGCATAAAAATCAATTAGCGCAGTTCCAAGGGTAACAGTAAGCTCCATTTTTTTCTTCTTTACATAAAGGTGAACCCATTTACCAGTTTCTACAGCTCCAAGAACAGCACAGCAAGAAAGTACACTGACCATAGTAACCTCGTTAGGCTCCACATTTGCAATTTGCATATCATGAAAAACATCAAGTGCCTCCTTGCATTGCCTTGCTTGGCTATATCCGGAAATCATGGCACTCCATGCAACAACATCTCTCCTATCCATCTGATCAAACAATCTCCTGGCTTTGGCAACATAACCACATTTTGCGTACATATCAACAACTGATGTCACTAAATTAACACTCCCTTTAAGCCCATTTAATTCTATATACTCACTAATCCACTCTCCTAATTCGATATCACCTAGTCTTCCACAAGCCGTCAAAACACTAATCAATGTAACCTCATGAAACCGAACACCCAAATCACGCATTTCGTTAAATAAATTTACAGTCTCCATCCAATACTCACTCTTAACATACCCCGACAACATTGAATTCCATGTAAAAACATCCTTAGGAGACATTCCATCAAACACCTTACGCGCAAACTTTATTTTTCCACAATTAGCATACATATGTATCAAAGTATTACAAACTAATTCATTGAACTCAAACCCAGATTTCACAATCTGGGCGTGAATCTCTTCACCTTCTTTCAATGCTCTTAACCTGGAGCAAGCTTTTAATGTACCAGAGAAAGTGAAGTGATCAGGTTGTACCGAGTTTTCATACATGTTTTTGAACAAATTCACGGCTTCTTGAGGGTACTGCTTCAGTGTGAAGGCCCTGATCATGATGTTATAAGCTGATGAATCAGGTTCTTTAATTTTGTGGAAAATGGACAGTGCATAGTCCATGGAGCTGGCGGGAGTGAGTATGGCGGCAGATTCCAGAAGGTTCTCGGTGGTGGTGGGGTTGAAAAGGAGACGGGTTTTTATTAAGTGGGCGTGGATTTGTTTTAAGTCTTTGGTAGTTTTGCATTGTTTTAGGATAAGGGTTTTAGGGTTTTCAGGGAACTGGGTGATGGTAGTTATGGCTGTTATTGTTTTGGCGGGAAAGTAATGAAGTGTAAAGGCCATTTTGTTTGGGTTAGTTTCTGAAATGTGAGGAAGCAGAGTATGTAAGGTGCAAAGGGAAATGTTTATAAGAAGGCTTTGCACTTGATATACAAAACGATTCTAAGGCAAAAGGGTGTGTCTTCAGATTTAAGGCGTTTTCCACTGTATTATTCAGTAAGCACAGGATTTTTTCTAAGATAAAAAGCATGATTTTTTACTTCTTATCATGATTTTTATCCACTCGTTTCGAAACATACACGCGTTTTTGTTATATCTTCATTCCTTAAACTAATTAATTATTAAGTATTCTAGGAATCCTCTAAAAAGAAGGCGGGAGAAAGTGTTCATTTTTTATTTGGAGATCTTCCACTTGGTAGAGAATCTTATGTTAAACAAGAAAACAATCGACCCCTTTCTTTCTTTCAGTTTCAGTTTCAGTTTCAGATGAAGATAAAATGGTTAAGCCTGAGTAAAACTTAGTTCAGTGAGTGAAGAGTCGGGAAAGAGAAAATTATAGTTAAACGTTTGTGTAAATTTTCCAAGGAAGTTAAAAATTCAAAAAGTTGTGTTAGTAAGTAGTATTATATAGTGTAGCTCCAGAGCCTTTTCCCAGGTGATGTGAAATGGTATCTTCTTTCTTTATTGGCAGGCTTGAGTGCCGACGGTGTGAAGCTTACATCAACTGATATTTTTAATCACAAAGTTATCACCAGATTCTTTTTTCAGGAAGTCTTTGGATAGCTAGTGAGACCGGATTGCTGCTCTGCTACTATTTGCGTAGAATTATTTTGATTCTTGATATCGGCATTGAGCATCCAACAAAGGTAGTGATATTCATTATCAAGATGGAAAAAACTGATTCCAAGATCCACCATGATAGACTCTCGCCCAATTGTTTAAAGCATCACGTTCCTTGCATAGTTGTGACTGAATTAGTGTTTGATATTGACAAAAGGAGAATTTGATTCACCCCTTATCTTCTGAGAATAAAGGAAAATGTGTGGTTCGTCTATAAATTGTTCCTTTTCATTACTTCTTATCTTGTAGTTGAGAAGGGAGCCATAGCAATGCAGAGGAGCTATGGCTATGCTCCCAACCAGCAGTATGGTTGGGATAAGACATCCCCAGATTATCATGCTCACATATCAAGAATTGAGAAAATGCCTAGTGTTCTCACCGATGTCCCCCAGTACCCCCAGTACCCTAATGTCCACAAGGCCTTCAAGAATAATTACACTTCTGGAGAAGAAGAACAACAACAGCCGCCCAAGAGCAAGAAGTCTTCCCCAAAGGCTAACAAGAAGGTTCAACTGAGCGACCATGCTGAGATTGTTGATAGTAACATATCAGATGAGAACTGTGAAGTTCAACAAGAAACCATTGAGACTGAAGCTGATGGTTTCATCCAGAAGAAACGCAAGGGATTTGAATTGTGCAAATGGAAGAGCTTCAAACTGCATTAGGCCAAGTACCTCTTTAGTGTTACCAATACCCTTAAATAAATGACCTGTCTATGATGTGTTAGCAAAGTTTGTTTTATTAATGCTATTTAGCTATGCTGCATGGTTAAATTGAATGCATTTTATGTATAGAACATGTGGGCTTATAAGGTGGTCATTCTTAATTCCAGTGTTTTTGATTTTGTGAGCAAATAATTGATTATAATACTTGGTGCTTGCCTCCTTAGTCTATTTGATTGTTCTCAAATATGCCTTTAGTACTGCTAATGTTCTATCCCCTTAATTTCACCTCCTTTGATCAACAAACTGTATAATGACTGGAATAGCACTTCAAACAGAATGGTGAAATATATGTTTGATAAGCAGGATTAAATGAATCAGAGGTTTGGTCTTCTTCATTTTACCCAAGCTTTTTAGTCATTTTCTGGAGGCAGTTATAACTTTCTACTAAATCACATGCTGACAGCTTGAAAGGGTTCTTCTTGAAAGTAAATTTGGTGAATCAAATTTTGAATGCAATTGTGCAACCTGATCTTCTCGTGGTAAAATTGGTTGATAAAGTGCTGTTTTTAATAGCAAAACACTGCTATGATTTAAAGAGGGAAAAAAAAAAAAAGAACATATTAGCCACTGTCAAGAAACATTATGAGGTTCCATCCTCCATAATTGATAAATATGGGAGGAAAAATGTCGTCATCTTTACTTGAAAATAGAACAAACATAAAAACAATCGTAAAGGTTACATTTGCACAAATCAAAATTGAGTATCATCTTCATAAGTAACAGGAGCTTGAGCATCATGGAATCTCCTGGAAGATAAACGATTAAATAAATTTCTAAGGCTATTCTTACTCTCTCTGCGCCTCCTAGGGACCTGAACAGGATCATTTAACCCAGAAAAAGGATAATCTAAAACTAGCCCCACCTCTAACTTTTTGGACACAGTCACGAGCTCGTACGAGTCCCACAGTGATTGCCTGAAATCCCAATTTGCACTCCTACTGGTGTCCTTAGGCGGCAATGACGACTTGTTGATTGCTTCTAGCTTGAATCTTGAGGGCTGAGTTCTAAAATTTCGTCGATGAGCGTCAAACTCATTGGTGGGTCTAGAACCACCAGAATGGGCGTGCCAGGCTTGCGCCACAGCCTTGATGATTTCAAGCTCTTTTTGATCATCTTCAAGCTTAAGCTTTTTCTTCATGGTGAGGTTTTTGTCCAGGGAAGTTGTGTCGGGGCCATGTTATCTTTGGCAAATTAGAGCCTCACAGTCAAATTGGTGTTGTATGGCGTATGGGTTTTCAGTAGAGGAATTTTTGTTTTCACTCATTTTTGTGGATGTTAATTATTTTCCTACATTATTCCAACACAATTCATTATCTTATCCTTTCCCAAGTATTTTTATTTGGGTATTATCAGATAGTTTATTATAAAATTACTAAAAATGTTGTACATAAATTTAAATATACATTAAATAGCCCTAAAAAGTACTGTATTTAGTTGTTGTTAAATTAACTATGGGTATTTGGTTTGGATTAAAATGTAAATTTGATCGGTTTGTTGTATTTAACAATTATTCATAGTTTTAAAAAATTTAAAATTCAAAAAATAAATTCATATAATTATTGAAATATTACTATACTTAACTAGTAAAATAAATTTAAAAAAAAAATTACAAACTCGGTAACAAACAAAATATTTGCATATAGACCAAAATAAGATCAAATATAGTCTATATAGATTATATAAATACATTGTGATATTTTAGATTAATTATGGTATACCCAAAATCAATCATATCTATGTAGGCCTAATTTGGTTGAACAAGAGCCCGCTTAAAAAAAAATTATTGTTACAACATCTCCAATTGACTTTTTATATGACTCAAACTCTTTATTATAAAGAGTTTATCTATAAAAATAAGAGTCCAACAGACTTTTTATCCTTTAAATATAAATTAAAGAGCGAGTTTGACTCTTCACATTTAGAGAGTTAAATTTCACTCTCTATCCTAATTTTAATTAATAAAGTACAAGTTTCTATGCATTTTATTTATTAATTCCCTCTCATATTAAGTCTTTTTCTTAAAAATAAATAACATTTTCATTAAATTTAAAAAGTTCATTGGATTTGAATAAAGATTTTGTTTTTTATATTTAGAAATTAATGAATATGCTCTTTATTTATATGAAATATGCTCTTTAAAATAAGGAGCACAATTGCAGATGCTCTTATGTCAGTTCAAGTGACATGACAGACAACTTATTTACTTTTGGCCAAGATTATAATATAGGGAAACAGTCGAGGGTGTGATTGATTCAAGAAATGTTGTATTATTGGGAATGTTATGTTAATAGAAATATATATTATTTTAAAGATTATGGGTAATGTTTAAGGAAATGTGTTTGGTTACTTTGAATAAATTGATTGATATGTTATATTAATACGTTTGGTTAAGAGGAATAAATTGGTAGGTATGTTATATTAATTACTAAATTGCTCTCTTTTTAAATATTAATATAATATTATTTTTTAAATAATCACTTTTAACCCCTTACATTTTAGATTTACTAAAAGACCCCAACAACAACAAAGGTTTAAAACTTAACAAAAACACTCCCACCCACCCCAAGCCACTGCCAATGGCAACGACAATGGAGATCTGGTTGTGAAATGACGGATGTTTCACGATCACATATCTGGCCTTTTATGGAAAGGTTGTAAAAAGACTAAAGATCTGGTTGTGAAAGTTCAGATCTGGCTATTTCTAGCCATGAATCACAGATCCATGACCGAAAATAGCCTTAGTAGCGTACCACCGGCCAGATCTAGCTGGCTATTTCTAGCCATGAATCACAAATCCATGGCCAAAAATAGCCTTAGCAGCATACGACCGGCCAGATCTGGCCTGCTATTTTTAGCCATGAATCACAAATCCATGGCCGAAAATAGCCTTAGCAGCGTACGACCGGCCAAATCTGACCGGCCATGCGCCATTCTGTTGTCACCGGCAGTGGTGGCTGGACTATGGCCAAGTCCAGCCACCACCCTTGGGTAATTTTTTTAAATTCTAGGGGTATTTATATCCTAAAAACTTTGTATATAAGGATAAATAGTTAATTGTTATTTTTGTAAATTGTTTTTAAAACAAATGCATTATTGTACTAAAATTTTATTAATAAGGGGTAAAATTGTAATAAAAATAAGATTACCAAGTAATCTTAAAATACCTAAAAAAATTGATGTAATCATATTACCAATATTAACTATTATTGATATTGAAAGATTATCGAAATCTTATATTACTTGATAACTGAATGTGGTAATCAAGTAATATAAGATGACATTATCTCAGTAATATTCTATTACCCTAACCAAACACACCCTAAAGCTTCATTTGTAAAACACAAACCGAAAGAGGAGCAACGTAACACAAAACCTAATTTTTCTACCTTTAATTAGCTTAAACTTCCTCTCCCACCACAATCTCATAAACATTTTTCTTTCTCAATTTGCCTCTACCGAGACTCAAAAAGGTGTTGACATTATCGTAGAAGCCTTAGAATGCTAGGGTTATAGAAGGTTGCTAAAAAAATGCCTCTCTACAAAAAAAGGAGTTCTATTTCCTTACACCTAGCTATATGGATAAGTATGCATCTATCAGGATCTATACTATTAATGAATATGTATATCTAATGAATATGTATGTTAATCCATATCACTTATTAATTTGGATAATAGATACTCATACAAATTAATCATATGCTAGGAACCAGATTTGAACTAGTGACACGAGGATTTTCAATCCTTTGCTCTACTAGCTGAGCTATCCTGATCATTACTGACGTATCATTTTCATTTTACCACAGGTTTTAATGGTTATACCATTACCATGAGATGAGAGAGTATCAATTTTGGATTACTTTTTCTGAAAAATGAAAAAAATTATAACCACTTTAATTCCATAAAGTTAATCCTCTTCGTTTGGATAAGAAATCTAGTTGTATTCTTTATTTTCGTTTGAAAAAATCTTTTACTCTTTAATTTAAATAAATTTAACCTGTATCAAGTCAAGATATCATTCTGGTAATTTAAAGTTTGTAAAATAAACTAAAGGATCAAAAATGAAATATAAGGTCAAATCAAGTAACAATGGCAGATGAGTAACCTAAAAACAACTAAAACGGTGACCAAATGCTTTTTGGTATTGCAGGGAACAAGTTTTCATTGTCAGAAAGTATATACATTATCTAAATCATTTTTTTTTTTTTAATAATTTCAATATTTTCAAAAGAATACGAAATGAATTTATAAAATAGGAATCCACATTTTAAAAATAACCCGAGCCGGAGCCCAAAAGGGCAAACGATAATTCCCGCCCATTTTCAAATAAAAACCCCAATTTCTAAGTCGCTAGGGTTTGACACAGTACCCAATCCTCTTTGATACAGTCTACATTATAATTCGCACATCAGAAATTCCTACGCAAAATGAGCACTCCCATGGAAATCACCGCTCAAAACTCCTCAGACGCCAAGATCTCGGAACTAAACGCCGTCGCTGACCCATCTTCTTCCCCCCTTCTCAACCAAGACAAATTTCTCGTCTCTGGTACTGAATTTTCTATTTTTTGGTTAGTTTAGCTTCGATTTCAACTAATCACCTTCTTACTAATTCTTTCCTTCAGTCGAAGTTTGTTTGAAGCCCTCAAGCACTGCTCGCATAGATGATGTCAGGTTAGCTGTTGAAAGGTAAGAATTTTATTATATATTGTTCGGGCATTATGTATTTTTCTTTTGTTTGAATTGTAGATAATAGGGTTTCAAGAGTTTGATTGTTCATGTTTCTGTTAGAATGCTTGAAAAGAGGAGTTTAAGCTATATAGATGGACCGATCCCTGTACCAGTTGATGATCCCTTTCTGATGGAAAATGTACAAAGAATCTGTGTTTGTGACACTGGTATGATCACTGTATTTATTTGGATCAGAAATTAAATAAACTGTTTCAGTTCACAAAATAGGAAATAATCATTGGTGAAGAGCTTTCAATTCACTGCATTTCTGATGCATGAGTTTGTTAATTTAGTAGATGAATGGGTGAAGAACCATGATATTCTTCTATTCTGGCAAGTCAAACCCATTGTTCATGTCTTTCAGGTAATTTCATCTGTGTATTTTTCTTTTAATATGTAAAACATCATTAAACTTCAACAGAAGAGTTGTTTGACTGTTGATCGGATATTATCATATTGTGAACAAAAAAATTAATCTTTTGAGTGTTGTTTTATCAGCTTAGTGAGGAAGGACCATGCGAGGAACTTAGTGGGGATGGTCAACCTTCTAGCTTCAATGAATGGATTCTTCCTGCCAAGGAATTTGATGGGATGTGGGAAAGGTATTTTCATCGCTTATTCTTCTTTATAATTTTATCCTATTGTTGAACTGACTCGCTAATTTATTCTTGCAGCTTGATATATGAATCTGGTCTCAAGCAAAGGTTATTGCGCTATGCAGCAACTGCATTGCTATTTACTGAGAAGGGTGTTGATCCTTTTCTTGTCACATGGAATCGGTAAGGAACATCTGGCTGATTTCTTCTATTCTAAGTTTTCCAAGTGTGGGATGAGAAGAAGCGAAATATGGGTGCTATACTTGTAATTAGATTCTATGTTTGGCTTTAGTGAACAAGGTTCCTAATTATTTCTTTTGGATGTAGTAAGGTTTATTTATTTATTCTCTGTGTGTGTGCGTGTGTGTTGCATTTTCATGTCTTTTGTCTCACCACCAGTAAATCTTTGATGCAACATTTTAAAGATAAACAAAGAATGTTTTTATTTTCCCTTAAAATGGCACTTGTTATAGTTATTTCTTGTTTAATCTTTTATTTGTCTGCAGAATTGTCCTTTTACATGGACCTCCTGGTACTGGGAAAACATCCTTATGTAAAGCATTGGCTCAAAAGCTCTCCATTAGATTTAGCTCCAGGTTTGTTAATTTTTTTGTCTTTACCAAGTTTAGTGCATCTGATAAAATCCAGACTGATTATGTTTTATTTGGTTTATACTTCTTCATTCAGATATCCACAGTCCCAGTTGGTTGAAGTTAATGCACATTCTTTGTTCAGCAAATGGTTTTCTGAAAGTGGGAAGTTGGTATGTAATCATTGTCCATAACCCTGGCAAATCACTTCCATCTCTTGTAATATGATTATTGTACCTTGGAAAGTTTGGTTTGAAATTCCTACCCATAATCTTGTTTCAACCTAGATATCATCAAGGTTTCTATGAACTTTGGTGTTATCATCTTCACCTTGTGGTGCCTACTAGATGTTGTTAACCCACTGACCTTTGAAGTTTTCCCTATCATGTAAAATTCTTGTGTTTTTTAAATACTTCAGAAGTTTCTATCTGTGAATGGTGGTCTTGAGTTTGCATTTTTGTGTATGTGCTACTAGGTTTTCACCTAGTGTAGTTACTGATTTTAGGTTGCAAAGCTTTTCCAAAAAATTCAAGAAATGGTGGAGGAAGAAAACAATCTAGTATTTGTTTTGATTGGTGAGAATAATCCTAAAGAATTTCTTCTTATTTTTTAAATTATCATCTAGCATTCTTCTAACTTTTATTTATTTGATTATATATGGTAATGCTCAGATGAAGTTGAAAGCCTTGCTGCTGCTAGAAAGGCTGCTTTGTCTGGTTCTGAACCTTCAGATTCTATTCGGGTACTGCACTGTTGTCCCCTCCAAACTATATCCTGATATCTTTCCTTATCATGCCATTAAGAGTATGATGACTCATCTTTTAAGGCTATTGCACTTAAAAACATGCATCTCAGGTTGTAAATGCACTACTAACTCAGATGGACAAACTGAAATCATCATCAAATGTGATAATTCTGACTACATCAAACATAACCGCTGCCATTGGTAAGTCTAGATATAATTTACATGTAGCAAATTCTATTTAAAGCAATGCATACTAATGCGAAAGAGACTTTTTTTTGCCTCAATTCCACTTGTTGCACTTTTTTATGGTGATTGTGGGCCTCGCTGCTACTGTATAGATTTACCAATTTTTGGGTTTCAGATATCGCATTTGTTGATCGGGCTGATATCAAAGCATATGTCGGTCCTCCAACTCTTCAAGCTCGATATGAAATTTTAAGGTCCTCCTTGCAGGAACTTATACGAACAGGAATTGTATCAAAATTTCAGGTGAAGGCTCCTCACCTTTTGCACGACAGATGAAAACAAAACCATGTTTTTGAAGCGTTAACATTGTCTCTGTGTGTCTATGCAAACACGGAATGGCTCAATTCATTTAGTTTCTAATGAAATTGGAATTTCTTTAGGATTCTGCGCACTTCATGCTTCCAAATTTTGCCGCTACAAGAGAGAAATTGAACAAGCCTGAGATGCAAGAGGATCAAACACTATTGCACCAGTGTAAGCAATTGCTTGAAGCTGCAGAAGCATGTGAAGTAAGTTACAAAATCTTTCAATGCTTAACAATTCTGCACTCTGAGAACATGAAGTGATTTTTACTCAATTATGATTGTTAATATATTCCTCTATAGGGGTTGAGTGGAAGATCATTAAGGAAACTTCCATTTTTGGCACATGCGGCTCTTGCTGACCCTTACGGTTGTGACCCTAGCAAGTTCTTGCTTACAATGATTGATACAGCAAGAAGGGAGTGTTCTGAGCTACCTGACTGAACTTATTTTAACTCCATGTAAAAGATGTGTTTGCCGCTTTAATGTAAAATAATATAAAAAAATAAAATAAAATTCCGTCCTTTGCAGTTGTCACATATCAATATTTTCTGAATGAGGCATCCTGTTTGTTGGCAGAGCCGGTTATGGTGATCATAACTCAAAATGAGATAACAGGGCCAGAAGCTACTTTTGCCCTACAGCGGCTCATACTTGAGCCTGGGTTTGTCTAGTCCACCAAATGTCTGGAATTACGGGCTTTGCTATGAATGGCGACGCCCAGTTGGCTGAGTCCAATAGGCTCAGTTAATGGCTGGGTGCGTGATTCCTGAACCCTTAAGCTGTTGGTGGGTGGGACTATCGAATGACAAAGGACGTCCAGTTCTTTTTGTTTTCACAAACTGAGAATCTAGTTATCTGATACACAGAAACAGTACAGATGCGAGCTTCATATCTGGTTTTGCACTCAAGAAAAATGCCACAATACGTTTGTATCAATTTTTATGGAGCTGAGAATCAATTTTACCATAAGTTGAATAGCAATTTTAAATCTATTGCTTATCAGAGAATGAAGTTCTACTAACTAGTTATCTACCAAATTAACAGAAAATAGGACTATACATTTTAACATGATTATAGAAATACACACTTCTATACCCAACAAATTACAGAAGCTCGAAAGCATAAAGAGTGACAAGAACAAAATCACAAATAAGTTTGATTAAAAAATTATCAAATCTAGGATATGACCTCAATAGCTGTTACAACTTACAAGTTGATACTAAACTACATAGTATTTTATAATAAGGAACGTTCAAAAAGAGGAAATATATCGCACTGAAATTAAATGCTTAAATTCCTGAAGCCCACATACCACCGACTGGCAGTGCTATTCATGTTCCTAATGAAATTCTAGCAAAGACTACTCAGAATCTTCTTACAACTGGCTTACTTAAGCCAAACACATCAGATCCAAAACTAATGAGCCATTCTTGTAGAAATAAACGTACCTGCTTGATTGCATAGTATGAAACTAGATTTTAAACATTAAATGATTCCTTCCCAGAATGGACAGCAACTTTGCCACTCTTACAGAGAACCAAAAAGTTCAGAGATTCTAGAATCTTTGCGAATATGATGAGGGCACTTATATAGCAGATCTTTGGCCTCGGAATGTCTACCTTCATTAAAGAAGGATTTGAAAACATGAAGATAGGCAGAAGCGGATGGAAATTCCTTCACAGTCAATGCCTTAAAAAATTCTGAAGCATCTTCCACAGTCCCAAACTTTGATATATATTGAACAAAGGGCTCGGGGAAAGGTGGGTGGTTCTGTTTCTTCATTAATCGTAGAAGGTTCATTGCTTCTTCAAGTTTACTCACCCCCAAAAGCTTTTCTATAAGAATTTTATATGTAGATTGCCAGGGTCTTATACGGGCGTTTTCTACCATCCCAACAAGCAATTCATAAGCACCTTTTACCCTTTTTTGACCAAGGAAACCATTTATCAAGACTTCCAACAGATCAGCATCAGCATCAATATTTTTCTCCACCATCTTTGCAAAACACATTAATGCCTGGTCAACTTCGTTAGCAATGCAATGCCCTTTGATCAAAATGGTCCAAGTCTTGATGTCAGGAATACAACCATTTTCTTCCATTTCATCCAGCACCTTACAGGCTTCTTCAAACCTCCTTGCTTTACAAAGTCCAAAGACCAGTTGGCTGTATGTGACGTTGTCAGGCTCATATCCCGCATTTTTCATAACCTTCACGATCTTCTCTGCTTCATCAAACCTTCCCACACTTGTCAAAGACCTATGAATCCCATCATAAACAGGCTTAGAAAGAAAATTCCCTGTTGCCTCATATTTCTTTGCAACTCTAAACACCAAAGCAAAATCAGGGTTCTCAACTGTTGAAATAATCCGTAAAAGCAAACTACATTCTTGAACTGAAAGCTTATATGGGCCATCCATCATAAGCTCAAAAAGTTTCACCGCATCCTCCGTCATCTTACATTTGTGGAACTGTCTTGAAATCTTTATGTAAGTGTCTATGTCCATCTCATGCCCCACATTCTTCATTACCTCAACAACACTCCAAAATTCCTCCTTTGAATCATACCGAGCAAGAACCCTTAAAATAGCATTATACATTATGGTATTATGTTCAGAACCTGAATACTCACCGACCCAATTAAAAAAGCTCAAAGCTTTCAAAGGGTAATTTCTAAGTTCTCTCAGAACACTTATAACAAAATCATCCGACAACTCAATTTTCATGTCCTCCAATTCTTTCTCTACCTTGTCACACCAATGCATCCCTAACACAACATTGGCCACTTTCTTCACAACACCAACCGCAGCATTCTCCTGAACCATCCTATCATGAAAATGGTTCAAAGCCACCACATCACTATCCATCTTAGCCTTCTTTAGAACCCCTAAAATAGATTTATAAGTTTCTTCATCAATATAAAACTTCTGTTCTTTCATTTTCTTTAGAATGATCCAAAACTGCTTCATTGACTCGTTGTTTACTAATATCATAAGCATCATACTATAAACAGAAGAACTTGGTCTAAATCCGTTTTTATTACAAACCCAATTGAAGAAAGCCGATACTTTTTCTGGGTCTTTATTAAGTTTCTTTAAAACATAGATAACACTTTCATGGGACATTTTTGGATTTAATTCGTCTAACTTGTTCTCTAATTCGTCAGACCACTCATATACTAAAATGAGCTCTACAATAGAGTTTGCATTTGTGGAAAAAGCTAGCCTTTGATGGGTATCATTGAGAAAATGTGAAGTGTATGATTGATTTGAGAGATTAAATGAGTAAAGGTCAGAGAAGTGAGTCACCCGAGTAAATAGAGGCCGATTTGAAGAAAGGCGAGTCGAGAGGAGCGAGTTGGCGAGTCTAAGAGATGCGAAGATTGCCTTTGATCGATTCATGGCTGCTTTTGAGGCGCAAGATGTTACAAATGAAAAAGCTGTGCGATTTAGGGGTTTTCAAGGGTTTAACCCTTGCCATAATCTGCAGTTCTCAACCATGAAACCCGCTAAATTTCGGGTCTAGTCCGAATAGGGATCCGGGCCGAATTCGTAAAATTACTATCCACCTCTTAAATTTTGGAAAATAACATTATAACCCCCAATTAAACTTAAAAACTACACATCACAGTAAAAAGAAGGGAGAACGACATTTTCTCACCCAAGGTTTGGCAAAACGACACTTTTCCATCCGTCAAGTTTCAAAATGACACTTTCTCACCCTTCGTTAGATACTGTTAATGTTTTCTATTAATATTTAATTAAAAAGATGAAAATACCCTAAAATAGTTTATTTCTTAATTAGTTTACTATAAATCAAAATTTAGTTAAGTTAAAGTCTTTACTCGATTATTTATTAGTTCAAGTGTAAAGATTTTTTTTTTCTTTTGTTTATTTAATTAATTAGAAATATTAATTTTATATGTTAATTAGTAAAAATGAAAAACATTATATTATGAAAAACATCATAAATTTAGTAGATTATTGAATAATAGTAATGAGATTATAAATAAATAAATATTAAGGCAATTGACTTTAAACAATTCTATAGAATTACTCTTAATTTTTTAAATGGGGCTAACTATTTTTTCTTTTTTTAACTTTTTGGCTAATTAAAAAATAATAAAAGATTTATAAAGTTAAATATTTAAGGGTATTTTTGCCTTTTTAGTAAAATATTAATAGAAAATATAACCGAACCTAATAAAGGGTGGGAAAGTGTCATTTTGAAACTTGAAGGATGGAAAAGAGTTATTTCGCCAAACCTTGGGTGGGAAAATGTTGTTCTCCCTAAAAAGAAGTCACTTTCTTCCGGAAATTAACCAACTCAGCTTTCAAACTGTAAAAACAAACAACAGAGAGACGGTTCTACTTTAGCCACCGTAATTTGGGGGGTCCCACCATGATTGTCTTCCACGCGAAGTTTCGATCGTTATAAACTTTACCCCAGCCCCCACAATCTCCTTTTTTAACGTGCCCTGAGCTGAGAGCCAGGTGGACCAGCTCTGTTTTTTCCCCTACACGTGTTAGTTATCTTTAGGTTACTACCGATTTAAGTCAAAGATATAGTTTTCTCTCTGAGTGAAGCAAGAAAACCTTACAGTGTGATTGACCCTGGAGAAATTCAGTCGGTGGCCGTTTGATTGAAAAACTTGTAGTTTTCCTCTTCTGGGAAACTCCAATCCGTTTGATTGCCGGAGTTTAGAGGCCCTAGGCGCTAGGTGTTGTATGTAATACTTTCAAGACAAACAGAGATTTTCAGGATCAGATATGTTGTTGCTCGCCTTTATTCAGATTTTGATCAGAACTTAGATTTATGTAATTGCATTCAAGAATCAATATACAGTACTATATAAGGAATACACTATACAGAGCTAGCTTAAAATAATACATAGAATTGACTTTGATCCATGTGGGTAGCATAATTTTCCCCTTATAATAGAAAAACATATATTACAAGTATCCATAGTGGGTGGAAGGGATCCCAAACTCGCAAAAAAGGAATGCCCCACAAAGCTCATGGCAACATATGCAAAGCAGCTGGTAGTGCTAAAAAAATTATTATACTTCTTGACACAACCGACTAAAAACAAAAGAGCCAAAATTTTCAAAGGCCTGTATTGTATTTCAAGATCCTTTAGTTGGGTTATAAAAGGAGTCCCAACTTTAGGACACCATGCTTTGCCTTCAAAATATGTTGCACCCTCAACAAAACATCTCCATTGTCTTTGTCCATCTCTTTCTTACCTTTCTTTTTCCTTGTGGAAACGTGCCGCCTCTGCACCATTAAAGAGAAACGTGCATGCGCGCGCGGGAATATAAGATTAGCGTCTCCACACACACTATGCTGCGTACTGTGCATTACCACAATTTTACACCTATCCCTTCCCAGAATTAAAGCTCATTTTCCTATTTCTTTCTACTGCTACACGTATCTCTTCATTTCCTCAATATATATGAGGGAAGGCGTGTCCGCTGTCTGTCTATTAAGTTTCATTCCCATACCCTTACTCGTTAATTTAAGTCACTTTCTTCCTCTTCTCAACACCATGGTTGCGACGCTCAACTTTATGGCAACAGGTGTGTTTATTTTGAGTACTCCAAAGAGGCCGTTTAGGCTGCTCTTTCATTTTCATGAAGCGGGTGGCCATCGTAGCAGCCACTTGAAGAAAGCTAGCTAGCTAGAGATCTTATCAAGACAGACTTATATAAGCATGAAAGGATAATATATCATGCATCCGTGCAAGGGGAATCAAGCCTTCTGGTCCGATTACTGTATTTCTTGAGATTTGTTTTAATTCTGAAGTTTTAACATATAGCCATATCTGTTTTGTTAATTATGTTTTCTAAGATTTAGAGTTGTGTGTCTTTATTCGTTTGTATGAGTGTTGGTGTAGTTTGTCAGATCTCAGAGGAAGCTAGTGTTGATGAATGAGTCAGATAACAGAATGTAAGTAGAGCCTGCAATTGCTGCTTGATGTAATAAAAAGTTTTATGTTATTATAACTTATAGGCACTCCATCTAGTTTATTGTACGATTTTTTTTATTTTCTCTCTTCTTTTGACTTTCATCTTTTCTTCTTATTAGAAAACATGAACAATTAGAAATCGTCCAGTCACCTTGTATTGTATGCACACTGTTTGGAAATAATAAAGCATCTGGGTTATTGGTTATAACTAGAGAAATAAATACATATAGGAATATGGGAATGCATTAAGATACTTCAATCTCACTTCTCATATGTAATAAAGCATCTGGTTGATGATTAGTTCCAAGTTGAGAACATATATCAAACCTAAATTTTCATAGAAAATCCACGTGCATCTTCAATAAAAGCAGATAATCTAAACATGAATGGGCAACTGGAAATCAATATATATCTATCAACAAACCAAGTCTAAAGTAGGAATGATACTTGGATCAGAACATGTATGCATGTCAAGAGAAATAAATCAAGGGCATGACCATTTGTTTGTTTGCTTCATTTTTACTCCCTGGCGATGAGAGAAAATAACCTCCTCTTTAAACATACTCTTATTATGGAGTGTATATATATATAAACCCTACTGTATTCTTAAGAGATATCGTATTTACTTGGCTCGATCTCTTGATGCTATAATTAAAGATATTTCTTTAGCTTCATAACTACCAACTCGAATTCAACATAAAACCTAAAGATTGTTGCTGACATTTGACATATATAATTATGATGAGTAGTATATAATAACATTATATTCTTTTTGCTATCTTTAATCATGAAGAAAAGTTAAAGATTGACAAAAAGTTTGCATTGTGCCTACAGATTGTTGGGCAGGTTAAAGCAGTGAGATCCAGTATGATATAAACATAATAAAAAGCTTCGTTGATGGTAATCATCACTTTCTTCATTCCTTTTAATAACTTAATCATAAACTATCCATATTATAACTTAAAAAAAAAGTTGCTGTTTGGGCACAACTGTCATCGAAATACTCGTGGCAGTGAGGTCTTATTGTTTCCTTCTTCATTTCGATCCCTCTGTAATGGACCCAAGATGTCACATTTTCTTTTTCAGAAATATAAAGCTTTGTCTTCAATCTTTAACATGGTTCATACCCATAAAAGCTCAGTATTTAAATGGATATATGAATTATAGCGCTCTGCCTCTGCCTCTGCCAGAGCGATCTTGATGAGATCAACTGTGTGAGGACCATGCAAAAGCATGCTCCTTGTTTCTTCAAACTATGTTTTAAGGGGTGATAGTAGACAGACAGCCAATAGAGGCACTAATTTATGCTTTTTTGAATTGGGCCTCGATTATCTAACAAATAAATGGATGTAGAGCCCAAAGGCTGTAAAGCTTAAGCGCCCATGATCCATAAAGAAATGGCACATTCTTTTTGCATTAGTGATTCATGTTTATGATAAGTCTAGTCAGGAGGGTAAAGTGTTTCAGTGGTTTCTGATAATGTTTTAAGTTATTTGTCGGTGTAATACGTAGTTGATATTCCATTGTTGAGATTAAAGCAACTTTTTGTCTATGGTGTTGCCTTTGCCTTATTCATGCTTATTGTGTATTTTTAATGTTAATTAGGTTGTCCTTGTCTGTCTCTATTTGCTCCTTTTCTATTGTTCAATGTTTCATTTTACCATCTTTATCTATGTGTAACTGATAGCTCATTAGATTTGACACCAAATTCCCCCTTTTCAACTCACAATCACTCCATTCTTACTCACCATGCAACACCTTTTTACACAAATCATACTCAAAATTCACATAAAAACAAAACTCTACTATAAACAATATTACAATACTTAATTAAACGATTAACAGTTTAATTAATTATAATATTACATTATAATTAAACCCTAAACCCAAATAGTATATTTGTTAGGGGTGTATTTGTAAATTTTTAAGGTATTTTTATCATTTTTTAAACTAATAGGGGGTAATTTTTTTTATAAGGTACCCTGGAAAGGAACCAGAACCTGCATTTTAGGTTCTGGTTCCTTGAATTGAAGAACCTGCACTGTGCGGTTCCGGTTCTGATTCCTTTTTTTGGAAACCTGCACCGTCCGGTTCTGGTTTTGGTTCCTCCGAAAAATGGAGGGTACCCAGAACCGCTCACCCTTACAGTCAAATTTCAAAATGACACTTTCTCACCTTTCGTTAGATTCTATTAATATTTTCTGTTAATATTTAACTAAAAAGATGAAAATACCCTAAAATAGTTTATTTCTTAATTAGTTTACTATGAATCAAAATTTAGTTAAGTCAAAGTCTTTACTCGATTATTTATTAGTTCAAGTGTAAATATATCTTTTTTTCTTTTGTTTATTTAATTAATCAGAAATATTAATTTTCTATGTTAATTAGTAAAAATGAAAAATATTATATTATGAAAAACATCAGAAATTTAGTAGATTATTGAATAATAGTGATTATAAATAAATAAATAAATATTAAGGCAATTGACTTTAAACAATTCTATAGAATT